GGAAGAAAAGTGAAATCCTGGTATTTTATTTTGAATGCTGGAGAAAACAACCTTCTAAAATATCAACTAATTTGATAAAATAAATGCAAATTACTTCCTTGAGACTAAATAAATCCATAATCTCTACAGTCCCTCCAAAATTTAAACCTCTTAATGAATTTTCATAAAAATCCAATAATGATTACATTGAAGGTAATTTTATGTACAAATGCAGAAGAGTAATTTTATTCCTAATTTTTTTCAGCAGTGGGATCAAAATAAAACCTAGGCAGCCAATAACAGATATGCAATTTACGATGCCACAAAATGATAGATTTCAGAATGCTTTTGTTTATCCTGGTGGCTGAAGAATGCATAGCTTAGGCAGTTAAAAGTGCCAAAATGCAGCTGTGAAAATGAACAATAGCAATTAGGATTATAATTCACCCAAGCATTTCATTACCAAGAATGCACTTGAAATCTCTCTCCATTGTTTAATTTGTTGGAGAATAAGATGAAAGGAGTTAATCTCCAGTCCATGTACATGAAATATTTTTACCAGAGCCTTCATAAATGCTTTAGTTTTCTGAACACTACTTTCCTTGTTCAAGCTACAAAGGCCCATGGGTCAAATGAGAAAGGCACTGTTTCCGTAACCCTTCACAAGATTCTTTGCTTAAGGCCTGTGTGTCTGAGTGGTGTGTGTTTAGAGAGGTGGCAAAGAGCCAGTAATTTAAGAATCTCCTTATTTCCTTTGTTGAAAAACAATGGGAGCCTTAGAATATACAATATAAAGTATAACCACAGAAGGATATGGCAACTATAACAACAAAAAATTAGTCTACTTCCAGGAAGTGAATTGGGCTCTATTTTAAAGCTATTTTCCAGTGAAACTGTTGCTTTCAGAAAAGGGAAAGAATTTTTTTCCAGATCAGATCTGATAGTACAGAGAATTCCAAAACAAAGTGTTTTTGAGCTTTATTTGATTCAGAAACAACTGTAAACTAAACCAAAACAAAACAACA